TTAGTGTTTAAGGCTTAGGGTCTAGGGTATTCCACACCCTGAACTTTGCAAACCCTAACCCCTAAACAGAACCGCCGGGTGAGGTCAGCTGAGGTCGTGATCATGGTGATCATGACTTGTCGTTATGGCCCAACTACAACCATATTCGGGAATTCAGGATTCTTGTGGCAATTAATATCCTAAACCTTAGAAACACCCAGGGAGTCGCCCTGAATTCAGCTTATCTAGGATGCATTACTATGGAACAACAAAGGGGAACCCTGGTGGATAAAAACCCTGGGTCCGTCAAACCTTGCCGCTAGCTCCATTTACCTACAATTTTATGCATTCGACCGATTAGTTAGGATCTAAATGACACTGAGCTATAGGTAAACGGAGTCACAGCCGAGGATTGTGGTATTCTGTGATACTAAGGTCACACCAAATGTTCTTCATCAACAATAGTATTTGGGGAGGGCGGTTAGGGAACCTGAATCCGACCCCCCACAGTTTGATTATCGCAGAAAGCGGCTTTTTGAAGAACACGAATTCTGTACTGTACCCTGACCCGTACCCTACTCCTTTTGTAGGGTACCCAGTCTTGATATATGAGATACTAGACATCAAGTTCGGCACCCCAAAAAGGTAGCATACGCCCATATCGAGATGAACAACATCTACACACACACACAAACTCATGCGAGGCGCACACATGCACTGCGGATGGAGGAAATCTTGCACTGAGCGCATTGGGCATCTTAAGTGTTGCAAGACTCCCTCCATCCACCGTAGTAACTTAGGTATATTTGCGTACTGCCTCCGTGGCGTTAGTCTCGTTCTGCTCCTTCAGCGCAAAGGTTCCGGCGTGGTGCTTTCAGGTTGTACGAGTACAACGGTCGGGTAGATCAAAGCCAACTCGTGCCTAGAAAACACGGCACTCCCATAGGCCTTTCAATTGATCATCCGTCAACGTCGGTTCCAGGACCCTAAAGGAGGTAACATGATGGCATCAACCCTTCACAAGGCCTCCCGTGGGGCTCGTACATGTAACGGGGGCTTGTAGGGCTTATGTAACGTTTAGGGTCTAGGGGAGAACCAAATGGACAAGAAGTTTGAACATGGAAATCGGGATTATATGGGGAGCATACAGCGAACGTAACGGTATATTGTCAAAACTACCGCCGCTTTTGGGGTACCCTATAATCATAGGGTGTATAGGGTTTATAGGATGCGGCACCTACTTAACTTAGCGGGGTAACCCACGGGAGCCACGGAGATGAGCCATAAATCTGGAACACCATGTGATACGGTGTAAGGTTAAGGGCTTTGGGTTTAGGGTTTGCAAGGAAATAGAAGAGGATACCGACTTGCACTATAGCTTACGAGCAGAATCCAAAGGTCAACCTTGCGCACAATGCCCTGTATTCGCATTAGGTGGTACTTTCTGAGCGTCAGTAAGGAATGGAGCCACATAGATGCCCTGGGAGTCAGGACCCCGATTTTTGACCCTAAAATATGCTTATAATCCTGAATCTTGGCACCCTCAAACGGAGCGTAATTTTGGGAATCCCCCACGGGGCAAGTTCCATCAGCCAGGTCAACATCACCCATCCCCAAGACCCAGGGCTTAAGTAATTATAACACTAGCTTCGCTCTAACCGTACTGGTTTTCAAGGATACCGAAGTTCGTACACCGAAGATATCAGACCCTATAAACCCTGAACTTGGCCCTGAACCCTCAACCCTGAACCCTAATCCCAAACCTAAACTTACTGGTGTGCACTGGAACGGAGAGATGGATCCCAATCCTAGCCCTATATGCTAGCTAGAGTTCAGGGTCTAGGGTTTATAGGTTTTATAGGGTTTACAGGGTTTATAGGGCTTATAGGGCTTATAGGGCTTATGGGGTTTATAGGGTTTATAGGGTTTCTGAGGTTTCTAGGGTTTATAGGGTTTACAGGCTTTATAGGGTTTATAGGCTTTGTAGGGCTTATAAGGCTTATAGAGTTTAGGGTCCTAGTAGGTCGCAACCCTGTTCTGGGGATGCCGACGTGCTCTCGGTCTGTCGGGCCATTTCTGAAGCCGCTCTAGTACCTGAGGGAAACCATAATTCCTAAACCCGAAGCCTTACCTAGGGGTCCAAGGACCTAAATAATAGGGTCTTGTGCCCCAAATACCATGAATAGTATAATAGTTGGGCCCTAAAACCCCATTCTTTGGGTCCTTGGCCTCCACAAATCCAAGCTTTTTCTGACCAATTAGCAGGAGAGGCATACGGTTGAGGATTTAGGGTTCTGCGTTAGGTGGACCCCCTACCCAGTAGTAGTGACTGTAGGCGATATAGTGAGGATTACATTAGGGTCCTCTTATATGCCTATTGTACTACTATTACTGGGTGGGGGGGGCGGGGTCCTCCTAAGTTCTGCATGATGACAACACCAATGAACCTTGAGCGTGACAAGCGAAAGCTTGCAGCACACTTGTTCCCTAAACCCTCAACCCCCCCAAAAAAAGCGGATGATGTAAAGGGCTCCTCGACCGTTGGGTTCAGGGCTTAGGGATATCTATCAGGACTACACCAACAACTCTGGATTTCCCTGAATTGGGTTCTTCGGCTGTCTTTTGAAGGATGCAGCAGGACGCATGTCATGTCATGACTCTAGATGGGTTCCATATATTGGGTACGAGTGGAAGGCTGTAAATAGGTCTTCCTGGATGGGGGGTTCTAGCAAAATAGAACCTGAGAATTACTTTGAACCATGACCCAGTCAAGAACTACCCTCGAAGCGTCTATGTCTTACGCAACGTCCCAAATGCCAAGAAGCAGGCTTAGTGGTTTAGGCTACGCTTACCGTCCTCAGCATCGTCCTTTTGCCAGGGACCAAAAGCGGGGCACGTGTACAATGACAACCAATGGCACAAACAGCCCCTTCCCTCGAAGCTGAAGAACAAGGGTTTAGGGCTTCATGGGGCTTAGGGATCTAAAGCCTCAACCCTGCTTGGAGGGCCAGGGCACTGAGTAAGTCTCAGTCGTATACGTTGATCTCTAATAAGCCGAATGAGAGCACCACTCAATTCCTGATTCTTATCCGCGACTTACTAAGACTATACTATTGACAGAGGAAATGCCCCCACCCCTCCCATTAAATCTTGGGAGTTACAAAAGTCAAGGGACCCTAGGCGATGCATGCAGCTCACGACATCTGCTGAAACTGAAACTGACTCGCCCATCGGGGTTTATAGGGTTTATGCTTTAGGGCTCACTGCCACCTACTGTAGGCCACAGAAGCCAAGCTGTCAGCGCATGCGGACCACCCAGATTCCCTGATTGCAGATCACACGCTGCTACCGACTGTTGCGCATAGTACTCTCTTTGGGAGGACCCCCCACTCTGTAATAGTGGTGTAATAGGAATATAAGAGGACCCTAATATAATCACCAGAATCCCTTATAGTCACTATTACAGAGTGGGGGTCCTCCTAAAGTATCTATGCAGTCTTTCCCATTAAGCCCTACATCCTAGTCGCTCCCCCCAAAATGTACAATACTGGCCTGCCTGACTGTTGTTGAGGGTTTGGCCGATACTATACCTACTTTGGAGGTACAGGCAAAACCTAAAATCCTAAACCCGTAATCCTAAAACCTAATCCTGAAACCTAATCCTACATCCTGAACACAATATCCTAACCCTCAACTAAAGCCTGAACTTTCTAGCAGGTTTGAGTTTCTTTCCTACTTCCGCCAAGAAGCAGCTTCCCCTTGGAGACCAGGTCGCCTGGCTAAACTTGTTGGCTGTTTGTAGGGTTTTAGGTCTTAGTTTTAGAGTTTAGGGCTTTAGGTTTTTCGGGCTTTAGGATTTAGAGCTCAGGGTCTAGGATTAGTTGGGAACGCGGTTTAGGAATTGGGGTTAAGAAGTATGTAAAAAATAACGACAAGAAACGAAATCGAAGCTGGCATGTAGGGTTTGAGGTAGAGAACGAAGGAATGGAGAAGGACATCAAGACTGATGTAGGTTTTATCATTTGCAGAGCTGCCTGGGCAAGAAAGTCTACATTGTTGTGCTCCGTGTTAGTCCCTACCCCCGAATATTCAACCATCATCCCCAGTGATTCTAAAAATTCTCCATACATTGCAATCTACCACAATGAGGATATTCAATATTGGGGGGGAGGTGATTATAGGGCTATGGGAGCCCGGGAAGTGTAATGTGCACCTGCCCTGTCGCAAGGTTTCGGGTTGGGAGTTTGGGACCATAACCCTAAACGTGAAACCCTAAACCTTACACCCTGAACCTCGTCTAGGGAATGAACAAGAAAATGGAAATTGTGTGTTGTTGGGACTTATACATATGCGCTATAATCCAAACTCCGAGAATCCCCCTAATAACTTATAACCCCGTAGTCTCCTATATATCCCCCCAGGAGTTTAGACCCTAAACCCTAAACCCCATACTACATAATCCCCTCTATACCCTCTCTTTACGGAGTTTAAGCCATAGCTCATATAAGAGGGCAACTAAAAGGAGCCCATCCTCCACGCCCTACTCGCAGCCGGTAAGTAAACCGGAAAAGTAATAGGAACAGTAGCAGTAATAAACTAATAACAGCAGCAATAATGATGGTAATAGTAATTGTCAGAGTAATGGTGATGGCAACAGTACTACTGGGTTGCTGTTAAGGAACTTAAATCAAGTTACCATGGTGAAAGGATCCCATCCTCCACGCCCTACTCGCAGCCGGTAAGTAAACCGGAAAAGTAATAGGAACAGTAGTAGTAATAAACTAATAACAGCAGCAATAATGATGGTAATAGTAATTGTCAGAGTAATGGTGATGGCAACAGTACTACTGGGTTCCTGTTAAGGAACTTAAATCAGGTTACCATGGTGATGATATAACGTAGTTAATAAGTTTCCCCAATATAGTCACTCATAAATGAAGTTCCTGAACAGCAACCCAGTAGAGAACGCAATTTTGCATAGGGCTCTGGGCCTAGGAATTGAGGCTGGGGAGGAGTTGCAGTTCGGGTTTGGGGTTTAAGGTCGAGGGTTTGGTGGGGGTTAGCTTCAGGCAACTTTAGGGCTGTATGGCTTTGAGGCCTCAACGCGAGGGTTCGTGAATTTCGGACTCACGGCTTGCGGGAACTAGCCCCATCACGGTACACTGACTTTGTCTAGTTATACCCCTAATATATACCCTATTAGAATATTCCCTATAAACCCTTAATATTCACCCACTATATACCCTAGGATAATGTACCTCCTTTTCTGTGGGCTCCTTGTCTTTGACTTGCTCAAGTTCATGTTTGGCTCAAAACAATCACAGCGAGGCGGGAGCCAGAACTGGAAGCTGTTGGAAGGGCATGGATACCAATCAACTGGGTTGCTGTTAAGGAACTTAAATCAAGTTACCATAATGGGTATATATAGTAATCAAAAGGGTTTCCCCAATATAGTAACTTAAATTAAGTTCCTTAACAGCAACCCAGTCAATGTTTGAGCCGTGTGCCAGCGCAGACTCGACGTCGAGCAGGGCAAAGAGCCAACTGCTTCCTCATGATGAGGGGATCCCTTTAAAGCTTTCGCAACAAATCAGGCTCTACCTCCAGAGGCCGATGAAGAAGTTCACATCGTCGCACAGGTGACAGCTTAGCTGTTTACCGTGGAGGACTTTTGGTTCCTGTACTGCTGTAACCCCGCACGACCAAGAAGCAGAAGTGCAGGGCTTTGATCTTGAATTTGGGAACAGAAACAAGAGGGTCCACATCTACAACTATTAGGGAATTAGGCCCCAAAATACCGTACTATAGAAGGAATTATGGGTCCCAATTCCCTAATAGCTGTATATGTGGACCCTCTGGGGAAGCAATGTTGGGCTCCCAAACGCAAGGCTCATCTGTATGGAAAGCATCCGTGTTGTCGTGCCTGACCCGGTCCCGATCATCGCCTCAGTCCTGTGTGTCATCAAGTGACCAGTAGATATCATCTGGAGCCCAGATCCAAAGTATGTCCACAGCCACATCGCAAGACACTTGGCTGATCTAGTGCAATGTAAAGGCATTTAGCTGGGTTCACTCGGGGAATTCTGATGCGGAGACTTAATGCGCCACGCAAGCGACTAGACATTCAAAACCATAACCTAAACCCTCAACCCCAAACAGGCGTGGCTAACTGATTGCAGGATCCCACCAGTCCATCCGAGGGGTGCGAAGGGTTTAGGGTTGGGGTCTGGGGACCTGGCCATCCAGAAGTCAATAGAATATGGGCAGAACGGCCCACAAAACCGTCAGAGAGGCAAGTATTACATATACTTGGGGGGGGGGTTGGCTAAGCTGTGTTAAAATATGGACTGAACCCACCCCTCAAAATTGTCAACATGTTTTTGTCATGAGTTCACCTCCTAGTTCCCTACACTCCCCCTGCTATACCACCCCTTGTTTTCCCCCTTTTACCTTATCTAGTCATGTTTGAGGCTAATCAAGTTTAGGGTCTGAGGGTTTAGGGTTTAGGGCTAACTAGGGGAGAACCTGTGCAGGATACTCTCGAGGGGCGTGGCAGGTGAACGCATCAGTTTAGGTTTGAGGGCTTTGGGTAACGCGTTACGGCAAACGAAGAAACACTGACCTTATCTATATATCAGAAGAGGCGAAGGACTACAGACAGCTTGGGCGTCGTGCTGCTGCAGGGCTCGAATTTTTGACAATGGCCATGTAAGGTTCTCTGGGGTCAATTGTGGATTGAAATAATCATGCCTACACAGTACCGGGAGCAACCTTGTACCCAAGAAACAACAAGTAAACATGCGAAACTGCTTGGTACACAGCCTGTCATGCTGGGGACACTGGCTACTCCACAAGAACTTACTAACCCCTAAACCCCTCATAAACCCTCAATCCTGCAGGGGCGGTGCGACGAAACACCCCCCGTTTCAGCCTGCTTCAGTAAGTTTCCGACTGTGTGGCAACACGGCAACACCCGTAACAACTCATTTAACCATAAGGCCTTGAAGAATTCCCCATAATGGGTGATGAACAGCAAATGGCTTACATCGAGGTTTATGGGCACATGATGTAGCGAACACAAATTGGCCAAGATCATCCCATGCCACCAGTACACAAGAAATCTAGAACCACAATATTGGTAATTCTTCCCTGTTACATTCTACAGAAGCCCCTATACAGACCCGGCTTCCATGTTGTCTTCTCTTTTCTTCTGCATTTGAGTCTCCATTATTGGGCAATATACATGATTCTCAAAGGGCCCAGAAAAACTGAACCTCATAACTTGTAGCAAGACTATACACGCCCCAAAAACCCAAAGCTAACTTACCCAGCCGCTACAGCCTTTATGTAAATCCCCAAATGAGTCGTTTTTTGGTGGTTGAACCTAGTAAGATAATATTCCTTATATAAAATACTATACCCCAAAAGGAGGATAGAATCTTAATCTATGTTGGGTACCATAGTAGCCCCAAATGAAATACTTCTCGAATCCCCCAAACCCCCTAAACCCTAAACCCTCAATCCTGAACCCTAAACCCTAAACCCTGAACCCTAAACCCTAAACCCTCAACCCTAAACCCTAAACCTCAAAGGGAGCTGGGCCTCGGGTTGCCCTCAATGTACCCTTTGTACTGGAAGAGGGGAGGCGCTTCTTTAGAGTTTAGGGTTTAAGGGTTTTAGGGTTTAAGGGTTTAGGGTCTAGGGGTTTAGAGTTTAGGGTTTAGGGGTTTAGGGCTTAGGGTTTAAGGGTTTAAGGCGCAGGGTTGGGGGCTGGAGGTCTAAGCTGAGGTGTTTGCCTGCGGGGGGCTTTTCTTAGGGAGCTTCTGCTGTGACTCAGAAAAAAGTGGCGTTACGATTCCCCAGGGACCGCGCCCCTTGTGTTGAGGATGTCTTAAGGATTTGATTTGATAGTGCTTCTTCTGGGTTGCTGTTAAGGGACTTAAGTTAAGTTCCCGTACTAGGTGGGTAAATAACAAATAATGGGGCTTCCTTGTTCTAATATGTGAGTTCGTTTAAGTTCCTTAACAGCAACCCAGTCTTAGGATGTTCGGTTTGGGGATTGATTTGGTGGTCCACGCAATCTTGGCGCAAAGGTGGGCAGGAAGAAAGGCCCAATCACATCTCAGGGTCCACCTTGTCGCTCACACATACCAAACCCTAAACCCTAAACCCTTAAACCCTAAACCCTTAAACCCAAAACCCTTGGTTGCAGTATGAAAGTAAGAGGGCACCCAGAAGCACCCGAAACAAAAGGGTCCTGGTAAAGCTGATCTTGGGGAAAAATGGAAAAGAACATGGAAACTACAAATGAAAACTACCATTTTAGTATTGGGGTAATATAGGGTTAAGTAGGGGTTATATAGGGTTTAGGGTATCTTGGGGCTTTCTAGGGGTAGTGGAAAAGAAAATGGAAACTGCTATAATGGCTTATATAGGGATTATTGGGCATGTATTGGGGTCATATTGGGATCATGGAAAGGAAAATGGAAACTGCTATTGCATCCTAACACGAGAACTATGCAAGCAGCTGCTATCGCTCATTCATTTAAACAATGCATGGTCATAGGGACCAAAGTCAAGAAGCAGTGTCAGAAGTGTTTTGTGGAGTTTCAACCTTGATTCGGAAGCCTCACACAGGGAGTTCATGTACCCAAAAGATTGCGGCTTCTGTAATCTGATCGGGATTTGGGACCTAAAGCTCTAACATCATTTTGGCATGTCAACCGTGAGGGTCATGGAAAGCTATCGAATAATGCATTCTACAAAGAAGCCCCTTAGTCTCGTGTCGACCTGTAGGTGCGCTTTGCGATGATTCTTTTCTTGTCTTTGAAGGGTGCCATCTTGTTATCAGAAATGCCTAATAATCCCTACGCAGTCGCCCCGGGGATTTTGTAGGTGCTATGAAAGGAAACTTGTCTTGTGGGCAATTAGTTCCAAATACCCTCAATCCGGCACAACAGAACCCCGAAGGTCCTGGTGTCCATAAAGTACCTTCTTTGGCCCCTTTGGGCCCTAAAATCCCTAGACCATCCTAGACCCATCTAGACTCTAGCTAAACCCTTGGTTCCCGAAAGTATGTACCGTTCAGATACCTGAACCCTTTGGGAGTCACATTTGGTTTGGGGTTCAATGTTACTTTTTGCTTGTTGTGCAGAGTTTGCAAGATTGGGAACCAGCTTTGCATGCTTTGCCGAAAGGTCACCACCACCACCACCACCACCACCACCACCACCACCACAACAACAACAACAACAAGAAGAACAAGAAGAAGCCGCGGATAACTCTGGTATGCAGTATGAAGCAACCCATTCTGGAACTTCCAACGTAGCAAAACTTTGTGCTTTATGTTTTTATCCGTTCGATTATGTTGTTTTACGTTACAATGGAAATTTGCGCTCGTTTCCGGAAAAACAATGCTCGTGGTGATGTTGCTAAGCCCAAGTTCAGCCGCAACTGTGATGCGTTTTTCGATGCTGCGCTGGCTTACGTTTTTGCGCGGGTTTGCGCTCTTCTTTCACCGACTTTGCGCTGCAGTGTGGAGTGCCAATAGCTTCGCAGTAGCCATCTACATCAGAAACCGCACGCGTGGTAAAAGAGAGGCTTGCGTCGCGGATTTGCGCCGGTATCACAATATACGCTCACTTGTCGGACAACAACGTATCAAACAATGGCGCGGCAAGCATTTGTGCTACGCTGGAGGTTGCAGGGTGTACGCGGTGTGAGGGTACTAACTGGTGTGACTTCAGACCCAAACCCTAAAACCTGTACAAGCCTTAAACTGTACCTTAACCCAACGCTCAACCCTATGACCCCAACCCTGGCACCCGATACCCTAAACCTATGCCTACATATCCTCAAAAGCTATAGATCCCTATACATCCCCAGATAAGCCGGAAAATACATATCCCTATGTAGCTTGAACCCTTACACCTTAAAAACTAACACCCCCTGGCGGTCCTCTGGCGTTTCTTCAACCTTGGCCGGCAAGAAGCCTCAGCAGATCATTGTCTGAGTATATTAATACTAATTGCAGAAACACTGATAATGAAAAATGGTAACAATAATATTCATAAAAGCAATGACGCTCATAATAGCAATAAGAATACGGATGACAAACAATACAAATAACAATAATAACAACAACGACAATAATCGTAGTAGTAATAACCGTACTAGTGAGAGTAATAGTGATGGTAATAATAACTGTAGTATTACTTATAGTATTAATATGCAATAGCAGCTTTAAAAGCAATACGAGAATCAAAAGTATTACTGGTAATGATTATCGTGAAAAAGGCTATATAGGACCAGTAGTAGAAATTTTACTCATACTAGTAAGAAACACGGTTGGGTGTCGGGTCGCGTTCGCAGGGCGGCACCCTCGTAGCTCCACACGGTTTAGAGTTTAAGGGCTTCAATGCTTTGATGCTATTGTACATTGTGGTTCCTAAGCCGTAAACCTTAATTAAGCACCTTAACTAAGCATGAGATTTTCCAGGGTGCTTAAGAGCTAGAACAAAACCTGCATGCCTCACAGCATTGCATTCTTTTCCAAGCCCTGTCCATACCAACAAACTTCTTCAGGTTATGGACTCTAGGACGCTGTTACTAGTATTACTCCGTGGTGGCCATGAAGAGTAATGGCACAACTGGTGGTGATACTAAAAAACCCTAAACCCTGGATCCTGAACCCTAATAATAGGAGTAACACTAATTCAACAGCACCCCAGGGCTTGCAAAAAGGCTTTGGGTCGGGTATACAAACAAGTCACAGGATAGGGCCTAGGATTTAGGGTTTAAGGCTTAGGGTTTAGGGCTGAGAGTTTCGGGCTTACTGTAGGGTCTGAGAGTTTAACGTGTAGAGTTTAGGGTTTAGGACTTAGGGTTAAGGATATGTGAAACTTGAACGTGTAGAGTTTAGGGTTTAGGACTTAGGGTTGAGGATATGTGAAACTTGGGCTTTTTACTAAGGGATCCCTCTTGGGGGTCCCCATGCTCAGGGTTGTAGTAGGATGAGTCTACATTGGGGTCCCCTCACTCATGGACACTACCACTTGGAGGATATCGCCACAAGTGCAATTTCGAGTGAAAGAAATCTCGCACCCCAAATGAGCTATAGTCTGAAATCCGAGTATCCCCCTTTTTAACAAGTAGCATGTCTTCTACGAATGGAACGAAACGGTTGGCGTGCATAAAGTGGGGCTTCCGTGAGTAAACCCTAAACCCTGAACCTGAAACCCAAACTCTGAACTGACATGATAACAAACGTATCGAGACAACAAAAAAACTCAAGTGCGATCACAAGTTTGGAGTCTTAGAGTTCTGGATGGAATGGAAAACTCTTAAACCTTAGCAAGATCATGCTGAAACCCTTTTAAAACATATCGCGCTGAAGTTCTTTTTAAATTTGATTAGTAACTTAAAGCCGTTCTTGCGGCGTGAAACCCACAAAAAGCTTGCTCTGTCTCTACAAGGATGCACCCCAAGCCTATCTCATCCTCCCAAACCCCACTCACTAAACCCTAAACCCGAAATCCTAAACCCTAAACTCGAAATCAAAAACCCTAAACCCTAAGTCCTAAACCCTAAACCCGGATTTTAAGGTTTAGGGTTCAAGATTTAGGGTTGAGGGTTCAGGATTTAGGCTGATGTTTTTAGGAATTAGGGTTCAGGGTTTAAGGTTGATTAGAGTTTAGGAGTTAAAGTTTAGGCTTTCAGGTGTAGAGTTTGAGGGTTCGCTTCGACCCTTGACCCAGATGCCGGAAATCCTAACACGCAAGCTGTAGGCGTGTAGGGTTACTGTAGGAGCATAAATAATTCCCAACATTGAGGTCTATTTAGGGTACTCTATACAAGAAAATCAGTTAGCCCGTATATGGAAGCCAGAAGACGCATGGAAGGGGCATGGGGCCACTTCACAACAGGCTCCAAGGTCGGATTGCTTTGGAAGATGAGCTCCTGCAGCCATGCATGAAGATTTGGGTTTAAGATTTAGGGTCTAGGGTTTAGGGAGGGTTCAGCGTTTAGGGTGTAGGGTTTAGGGTGTAGGGTTCAGATTTTGCGTTTATGGTGTGAGGTTCAGAATTTATTTGGGGTTTAGGTTAAGGTTGTAGGGTTTCAGGTCTAGGTTGGGCCCCGGTTCAAGGCCTAAATCCTGGGCGGCAAAGTTGAGGCTACGCCCTCAACTCGATAACCCTAAACTGCCTGGGAATCACAAAGGCATCGTGGGGGGCGGGTTTGCCTCGAAAGCTCTAGCTCTCTCTCGCTCTCTCCTTCTAAGACCCTGATATCCCCGTGAACAATGATACCCACCCAAAAAAATCTCTCTCTCTCTCTCTCTCTGTCTCTCTCTCTCTATATATTTATATTATATATATTATGTACATACATATTTACACGCAACACGCACGCGTTTATCGGTTTATCTGTTATGTAAACGTATCTCAGAAACTCCCGTCTACAGTGAAAGTTGGAACATCAGTAAACCTCTTAGCCCCCCAACCTAGCAAGAGCGAGAAGTAGCTTCAATAGCACTGTCTTCATGATCCATCCTGTAACTCTTGGAAACACACCGCATGCTAAACCCGAAATCCTAAACCCCTGACCCTAAACCCTAAATCATAAACCCCTAAGCTAAACCCAAAGTCCCAAACCGCTAAACCTAAACCCTAAACCCCTAAACCCTAATCCCTAAATCCCTAGCCCTAAACCCTTAAGCCTAAATCCTGAACCGCTGGCCCTACACCTTAAGCCCTAAAAGCTTACAGCCACAAAGTGTCACAGAATGTCCTGCAGTGATGGGAGATCGAGGTCTCTCTCTTGGCCCATTCCGTGATGGAAAGCCTTTCCCGAAGGATCCATATAGGTTATATATATATATACACGTACATGTTGATTGTTTGGCGGGCCCTTTTCCAATTGCAGTTAGCACGCCTTTACAGGCGGGGCCAGAAAGTTCCCCTCATATATATATATATATACGTATGTATGTATGTATGTATGTATATATATATATGCGCTTATATATATATATATAGGGTTTAGGGTTTGGGGTTAGGGTTCCGGGTTCAGGGTAGGTGTATATAGTATAGGGCCCAAAGGGGTTCCCATATAGCTGCTTCAAGGCCCAAGTATTGACTGTGTCGCTACATGAGCCCTGTGGGTTTGGGGTCGAGGGTCTGTACGGCTTAGGGGCTGAAAGTCTACAGGGCTTCGGGGCTCAGGGGCTAAGGGGCTCTGGGATTTCGGGTCAAGGGTTTGGGCTTACGCGTTGAGGGCTAGGACTTCGGACATCGCCCTTGGCATTTGGAGCTTCAGACTCAGGCCTTACGATTTAGGGCCTAGGGCCTTCAAGCTCAAGAATTTAAGTTAAAGCTGATGAGGGGCAGTGGGGGTTTAGCAAGAACTTTTACTTGATGGTCTACTCCTGACAAGGCGCAGAAGGGTATTCTAGGTAATTACTATTATACAAACGTCTGTTCCAAAATGTTGGTGAGTTGGGGTTTATGAGCTTTTTGTACATGCTTCAGGGGGCGTATATGGGTTGTTCTCAAAATTAGGGGCCCCTGTTGGTTATACATTATATTACAGCACCGAATATTTAGGGGTACCAAAGTGGGACCCTAATGTAGGGAACTACCCGAACCCTAAACCCTAAACCCCAGACCCTAAACCCTAAACCCCAGACCCTAAACCCTAAACCCTAAATCCTAAACCCCAAACCCCAACCCCGAATCCTAAAACCTTAACCGGATATGGTCTTCTAAATTTTGTGCTTTTATGTGCAGAACTGTCACAGAGGCCCTGGATGAACCGCAAACCCCCAAGCCCTAGAGAGTTGCCCATATGGCAAGAATCTCAACTCTTCAAAGAGGGTTGTCTAGGGGATTATATACGTTTGAGGATTTAGGGTCTTTACAGGGAGTTATATAAGGGATTCTATAGGGGAGTTACATAGGGATTAAGAAGGGGGATGCTAGGAGTCTGGACTGTAGCCTAAAAGCCCTGACTGTGCACAGGCTAGGCTCCATACAATTCAGGGTTTAGATCATATGTTGCGTTCCCTTATTTTGAATTTGGGTACCGCCCTATACCCTCAACCCCTAAACCCTAAACCCTAAAACCTCAACCCCGGAACCCCAAATGCTAAATGAAAAGGAGCATGCTCGCCACGTCTAAAGGCTGGCCGTGTGGGTCCAGATCTAAGGGCTCAGGAGTTTGGATTTGGAGCCTTTTCAGGGACCCAAGCAGGCAAGCTCTCCAGGATGGGTTATTGGGCCCCATAATTCCCTATCAGGGCACTAATAAGGGTAGATTAAGGGATGATAGAGTCTAATAACCCATCCTGGCTCCTGCCAGATGTTAGAAAGGTCTTGCGGATTCCCCATCCTTGCTCGATTGGCGGTTAGGCGCCTAACTAGTAGGAGGGTGCGCTTCGTAGTTGATACGAGGCGGCGATGCGCAATGTTTCACAAACGTTCAGCAAGTCTCACCAGGGTCGCCGCGTGCGCCCACCCCAACGGTGGAACAGCCAGTACTCTTTCGACAAGACATGGTTTGAGACACGGAGCTAACAGACGCCTGTCTGAGATTCGAACTTTTGCAAGATCAACTTTGAACTAGACCCTAAACCCTCGATCCAAAACCCTGAACCCAAAACCCTAAGCTGCGTTTTTTAACAGTACTTGGCTTGGGCCAGTTGGATTTCTAGGGTTTTGGGATAGGCCACATATTAAGTGCAACGTCCGCCCTAGATTGGACATCCAAACCATGACCCACAATACAACCCTGCTTCAAGTAATCTGCGTGTTTCTCGGCACCGAACTCAACCAAAAATCCTGAGGTAAACTGAAGTTCAGGGCAAAAATCACCCAATTACAACTGCGGTCATAACCCAATGATGAGCCCCAAGTTCCCCTATGTGGTAATTATAAGGGTCCAAGGACCCAAACAATAGGGTTTTAGGGCCCAAATACTATACCATTAATGGTAAGACCCTATTATTTGGGTCCTTGGTTGGACCCTTAGGGGTTATAATTAGGGTAGACGTATCCGTCTCCCCATGAATTGCAGAAATTCAGAGGGATTAGCTTACCAGCCTTTGGACTATACCAAATGCCCTAGCTAAGGTTTTAGGGTCACGCGGTTTAGAGTTTAGGATCTCCCGAACTAACATGGAACCGGAAAAAAGGGGGTCCTTGATAGACTATCGTCCGTTAGAAGTGCCTTTGCCATGGAGGTTTGTTTGGCGGAGGGTAGCCCTAAACCCTGATCCCCAAACCCCAGTTCCTGCATGGTGGCTATGTAGGGATTTCTCAAGTAAAGGCCCTTCAGGGGCCATTTGGATAGATTCAAAAAGGGGGATCTTAGGGTTTTCGGTGCAAAGCATTCTGACGGATTTTGTCAGGCTTCTAGTCCCTATCCTGTGCATCACCGAGGCTTCGAATCTGGGGATGCTGCTAAAGACATCACGTGGTTTAGGGTTTACGGAAGAAACCTTCAAGAAGCTTGGGCCCCAAACACCAAGAAACGCTTGACCCCAGAAGCCCCTCAACTCACGAACCTCATCAACTCACGCACCTCATCCCTAAACTTGAACCCCAACTCCTAAACAAATTGCACACCCAACACTCAAGACAATTCCTACACCTTGAATCCCAAACTTGCAGAATCTCTAGCACAACCTTCCTGTCAACAACGAACCCGCAAATGAGCCAAGCGGCCGCTATCGCTGCCAGAATACCCCGAGGGTTGCCTACATACCTCTCCGTTTAGGGTTAAAGGTTCAGGGTTTAGGGTTTCGGGTTTAGGGTTTTGGGTTTAGGGTTTCGGGTTTAGTGTTTCGGGTTTAGAGTGGAGCCGCTTCATATGCCTCCTAAGTCAGACCAGGGCCTAGGCTCTAGGGTCAAAATTCACTTCAACCCTTCTTACTACTAATGATATTTATGAAAATAACAGTGACAATAGCATAAATAATGGTAGCGCTCTGGACGCAAGGTTGGGGTCGTGGAGTTTGCGGTGTAGGGCTTAGGGCTTAGAGTTTGGTGCTTAGGGCTTAGGGTTTAGGGTTTAGGGTTAAGGGTTTAGGGAGTTTAGGGTTTGGGTTTTGGGTTTAGGACTGAATCTTGGGGCCATTGAAGGCCTGGGGGTGCAGAGTAGACGTTTTGTGGATTTCCAATTGGTTCCTGAAGGGTTGGGCGACCTCGTATACTACCCGGAGCCCAAGAATGTGCAGAATAACAAGGTACTCGCGTCTTTCGCCG